CTTCCTTTATGTCATTGATATAAATAAAAAGAGCAAAGGTCCTAAGATGGAGCCCTGAGGTACCCCAATTGTGACATTAATCCAGTTTGACTGAACTCCATTTATAACAACCCTCTGCTAACTTCCATACAGCCACTCTTCTATCCAATTAGCTAACTTATCCCACACACACACAATTATTTTTACAAGCCTTTTATGTGGCACCTTGTCAAATGCTTTCTGAAAATCCAGATACACCAAATCTACTCCCTTACTCTCATTTACATAAGAAGTAACCTTTTCCTATGTTTGTATTTTATCCTGTTTTAAGTCTTAGGTATTGTAAATATATTCTGAAACATAACCACCAGAATGTAATGAGAAGGAATGGATCGAAGTTATATGGAATAGATTTGTTCATATACAGCCAGATATAAAGTATAGAGGTGGTTGTTAACTATAATATAGGCCTAAAAGGCTTTTATTATTGCCCATAGGGCTGTAGTTATCCCACTTATTTTCCTCTTAAATGACAAAGTGTACTATTAAACCTGATCCTTCAAAGGAGTGAGGTTTGATAAGTTATATTTGTGTGTGAATCTCTATATTTAACTGCCTGGTGACTTATGTAATGACTGTAGTTAGGGTTAAAATGAATGAAGAGAATCTGCTTTGTTTACTCATCAAAATGCTCAGCCTCGTTCTGGCGACGACTATGACAAACCATATAAGGAAAACCGTGTCCCTGTGTATAATATAAAGCTGTAAAATACATTCTACCATTGACTCTGGAATAATTTTTATCGAGGAGGCGCTGCAAATCATTGAATAAAATTGTAACCTTTGTATTTGATGGAAACCGCGTCTTTAGATAACTGGGGTAATCCAGGAAGATGGCAACCCTGTTCGTAAAGGTAACAAAGATTGCACTCTTTTTGTTATATCACCAGCAAGTATGTAGCATCCTTGTACTTCAAACCAAGGGGTACTGTCGCACCTTTAGTACCTATACCTCCTGCTTGCTTACATTCTAGTGTATAGATAATATTGTTACGCCTCCAGTCGTTAG